TCCAAAAGTAGGAGCATTGAAACCTTAGCCCATAGTAGCTATTGAAGGCATTCTAGAGTAAATGTAAGGATATGCCCTAGAAAATGGTAGTTGTGGTTATAACCTCTAGAAGTTTGGGCTTGATATGACCCAAAACGTGAAGGGTATAATGGATTTACAACATCTTAAGACTATTGCTCTTGTAAGATGAGAGTTTCATCCACTTTTTTTCTCTTTGTATTTTTTTTTAACAAATTAATCATTTTGGCAAGATCTTCATTTAACTTCTCTTGTGCTTATTCAATCTTGTCAAATCGACTAGCTTGTTCCTGTTCCACGATCTTGGTCTAGGCACAAGTATTGTACCACCATAGAATTTTGGACGGTTAAACTATCTTTGAACATTTATTACCACAATCTTTCTAAAATTAGGATAAAATGTGGTCGTATAAAAAAAATTCCAAATCTTTGAATATTTATACATGAATGAATGCATGTATCGAGGAATATTTGCCACATAACGGTTCTAAACAAAAAAAAAATCTCAACTGAAATCTATTATAATCAAAATATAAGATTACATTTGTAGACACCCCAATTTGTCTGAGGTTGTAACTGTTTGGTTTGTTTTCTTTTTGTTAAATGTTTAAAAAAACAAAAAAAAATTAGGAAAGTTTAGGGGTGGTCAAATTTGTCTGGGACTATTTCTTTGGATTATAAAATTTTGGTTGAAATTAAAAAGTGAAGTTTGAACTAAAAAGAAATTAAAGTTCTTTTGGTTTAGGGTTCTCATAAGTTAAACCCTATAATACTCTATCAAATTCAACACAAAGGGAAGAACGAATGAGCAAAGAAAAAAACACAAAAGCAATGAGAGAGTGTACATAAGAGTAGTTAAAAATTTCTAAGGAATCTTTCTAGTTTAAAAGGAAATTTGTTGATTTTTGTTTTCGGAAATTTTCTAGAAATTTTAGAAACAGTTTAAATTTTCCAGTTTCTAACAAGGTTTTCCAGTTTTTGGCAGACTTTTTTTAGTTTTCAGTGACCTTTTCCAATTTTTGGCTAACATTCAAAGATTCCAAGAGAAATACGCAAAGGAAATAAAGAGGAAAAAGAGAAGAGCTGGAGGAAATCTGAAATAAAAAGCCAAAATTTAGCCTTATATACTCGTAACAATACAGCGCCATTTTAAAGTTATATCTTTTGTAAGATCCACATGTTCTGTTAGAGGCTAACCCGACTTGATTGCACAACCTAATTACCCACACTTTTTACCAAGCCGATTGAGCTTCAAAGCGAGTCTTAAGCCATTTACTCCTAAGCGGTTCTCGATGCCTGAAGCCGAGCCGCCTTTTCAGCCCTAACTTGAGCCACTCTTTTTATTTTTTTGGTATCTTTTTATATTTCAATTTTTTTAATTTGTCCTTTTTTATTCTTTATTTATTATTTGTTCGTTTTATTTGTATAAATTTTATTTATTAATATTTCTAAAAAAATATTTTAAAAAAAATAAATTTATAAATCTTACCAAACTATTATAAAATCTTCATGGATTTATAAATTTTAGAATTATAAATTTTACCAAATTATTAGAGAATTTTATAATAATTTTTTTTAATCTTACCAAATGATTAGAGGATTCTATGTTTTAAAAAATTATGAATTGTATCAAACGATTGGAGAATTTCATGATGAATTTTTAAAAAATAAATTATTTATAATCCTACCAAATGATTGGAGAATTCAAATTTATGTTAAATCTTACCAAACTGTTAGAAGTTTTAATTACTTTATTTTTTAAAAAAGAAAATTTTCATAAAAAGATTTTCAACAAAAATCCCACCAAATAATTGGGGGATATGCATTGATATAAAGTCTTATCAAATGATTAGAGGATTTTATTGATTGATCCTAAAAAAAAATAATTTCTTAGAAAATATGTTCATGAATTTGACAACAGATCCTCTCCAGAGTGGGACATGAATCTCTATGAATACTCTCGAGGTGAGAAAATTATATTAAATTGCTACCAAACAATTTGAGTAATTTTAAGAACAATTTTCAATATTAAATTTATTAGGTAAATTACAAACACATTTTAAAACTTGGATAATATGAAATCAAACTAGTACCATTATTTAATGGGCATTGTGAAGGTGCTATAACATTTCTCACACATAACGTATTTTCAGATCTAGTCTTGATTTCGTAGATAAAAAATCTACTTTTTTAAAAATACCTAAATTAAGCTTAGAATTTTTTTAAAAAAGAAATATATTTAGTTAGGTAACCAATGGCATCTTAATAAAAAAAATTAGTGACGACTACTAAGATCAAATCTACCTATAGGTCTATAGATCTATACGTTATGACAATATCTATAAAGGTTTAAAATTTATGGCCTCCAAATAAACTTCCTAATCTGTTGGTACCGGTTCTGTGCTTCATCCAAGAAATTGAGAAGGCTTTGTCCATGTGCTCCGGTTAGCTGTACTCCCACCTTTAATTCCTTAACTGTTTCTCTATTTTTGTTGCTTTGTCAGTGGCCATGCTAATTTGCCAAAACAAATGCCTCAAATATTCTTGTTTTGTCAAGTATGCACTTTTGAATTCTTTGCATCTGTCAACACACCCTTCACATTCTTTTGCCAATGCCCCAACTTGTGTTCCAAGTTGATCAACATATTCTTGAAGTGTTTCATTATGACTTTGAACCTTAGCAAATGCCTTTCCCCTTGCTTTTACCTTCATTTGCAACTGTTCATTTCCTTTCAAAAGTCGAGCAAGTCCAAGAGTAGTTGATGAGTGTGTATTGTTCAAATCAGCAAAGAGTTTCTTCCATTCATCCCTTTCTTGGCCAAGCTTTTGGATCTTTCTTTCTTGCAACATCAAACAAACTATCCTCCATTTCTTTCTTAAGCCTTTTATTTTCGCGTTCCAATTTATCTTTCTCATTTTGGAGTTTCCTTTTAGCCAACTCTATTTTTGCTATAGGATCATGTGGTTTTGGTTCTTCTGGGCAATTAAAATCATCTTTTTGGGGAATGACAACATCCTTAGCTCGTCTTGCATGCCCCACAAAGTTCTCAGGGCTGATGTTATTTGAGTGCCTCCCTCGCTCCATTCTTCTCGTCTCTTTCCATTCCCTGGTAACTTTTTCCATTTTTTCGTACTGTAGGGTTCGCCATATGTAGTCCCAAATTAGTTTAGATCATATGTCATTGGAATAAATTTTTCATACCCGAACTATCTTTGTACCATGAATGGAGCATAACTGACCATACTCCAAAGACCAATGAGTGAAACCCAAAGTTTGTCTCCACATCTATGCAAAACTGGACCATATGGCATCCAAGGTTCTCTCCACACCACTTTTTGACTTACCAGACTGCACAGATGCTTGATCCATTGTTTCTCAGATTTTGGCCTAGGCTACTTGCTTTCACAAAAGTCTTTTAAGGGATTATTATATATATATATATATATATATATATATTGATCCCTTTTAAATTAGAATTATTAATTTATTGATTTATTTTTTGTTTTAGAATCTAATTTTGCTTTGAAATTTAAGAAGGATTAAAATCATGTTAAGCATTTAATATAAAATCAGGCTAAAACTAAAAACACCAAACTTAAATATAAAATCACATTCAATCCAATATTTAACAAATATGCTTAACAATAATTATAACGAGGAGAATCACTTGCAAAATACAAACAATGGGAAACATCACTAACACTTAGTCAAGGTAAATGAGAAAGGCATCCTATTAAATTGGTCTAGAGATTCTCCACATGTACAACTCGTGTTAGAAAGGAATTAAATAAGAGATGGAGATTACAAGATAGAGGGTGATCACATCTCAATTTTTCATGATTCTGCAGCTAACTATCATTTCATGAAAAAAAAAAAAAAAGAAAAGAAAAAAAAGCTGCAATGTTTTCTTCGTTTGCTCACTTTATATCGAATATTTACAACTCTTCTAAAAGGATTTGGATTCGCTTTCATTTATAATCGTATGGGACACGTAAAGTGAAGAAACTTCACATGACATGCAAGCAATGCAATTGCCCAGCCCTTGTTTTAAATGCTAAAGGAAAAAAACCTTAATTCGACTTTGTTGCCATTGGTATCTATAGACAGTTAGACTTACACCAATTTCTTGAACTCTTTTATTTCTTTTGTTATTATTAACTGATATACAGATATATGAATTCTTGCTTTCAATGTGCAGTCCGTTCAATTACGGAGCTGTCCTTGTCATTAAGAATCAAAACTGTTTTCTGGGCCCTCTGTACAATTTCTCACGTTAATTAGCTTTCTAATTAAGGAATAAAACCTAACTTTTCTTTTTAAAAAATACAGAAACTTAATACAGTAATAATTCAGGTTTTTGAATTCAATCTATATTTATATTTATACAATTTATAAACTAATAGTGTGCTTATGCTTTGTGGGAATTTAATTAATTTAAATAATTTTGAAACAAAAATAATAATAATATATTTTAAAGTACTTATTTACGTTACTTAATTATTATATAGACATTATTGTTTAAAAAAAGATACGAAAAAATAAGTATTACCACCTATACCCAAAAATGCAAAAGAGAAAATAACTTTTATAATCACGAAAAGAATATTATATTGCAAACAATTTAGGATTGCTTATAATTATTATCTTTTTTTTTTAAGAAGATTAACATCGTAAGTTTGAATCCCATTAATAAGATTAATGTTTTTGTATTTGTGATTATCAAGATTAATGTTTTCATACTTGAGATTATCAGAGATTAATAATTTCTACTCAAAAATAAAAATAAAAATCAACACTACAAAAATGAAACAAAACAAATAATATATCAAATTTTGATCTTTCAATGATCACGGCTCAAATATTGGTGACATTATAAAAAAAATATGCATTAATTTTTAATCAACTTTTAAGTAGCAAACTCTCCCATTGGTTAATTACTTTAAGTTTATCTATTTTTGCGGGGTCCCGTTTGCTCTTCCAAATTAAAACCCCAATGGAAATAGTATCAACTTTTCCAGCATAAATATTCTCCATCAATCATTCCAGATTGCACCACTAGAAACATGAGCATAAAGATGATGAGCAACACACCCTCCTTGAAGAAGACCAATTGAATTCCCTTAAAACACAAGTCCTCAAATTCCATGGATCAACCTCATCATCATCATCAACGAATTAGTACAGTTGGAGGCAGGAGGTCTCTTCATCAGGTAGAATTCCCAACCTCCCTTGTGGTTCCCCAGCTGGGGGATGAAATCTTCCATGTGGCTCACCCGCAACACCCCATCTCCCAAACTCACCTGCCTGACCTCTTCACCTGCTCCGCCTGCAAGGAGTATGGCGCCGGCGAGCGCTTCACTTGCAATGACTGTGACTATCAGCTCCACGATTTCTGCGCCTTCGCTCCTCCAGCTCTTAAGAGACATCCCATCCACCCCCTTCACAAGATCATATTCTTTCCAAAACCTGGTAATTTTTCCTCTCCTTTTTTCCCTTTCTTCATCTCTTGTAATTATGGTTTTTTATATTAATACTACATAGCATATATCCATGTTTTATTTTTTTTAGTTCAAACTCGACTCGATATAGAAATCAAACTATTCGAATTCGTTCAATTAAACTCAATTAACATGTAAAAATAAACTTGATTCTCATTATATGAATCAATCGATAAAAATATGTCCTACATCCTCCATGGTCCGCACTTCACCTATTGACACCAAGCATCGGCAACCTTTGAATCTGTTTTAATAATTAAAGCAGCTTTACCCTTCCAATCAGTTACCATAAACAACTGGATTGCAGTTTCAATAGCCCTCAATTCCGTCACATTGGAGTCTTGAATTCTTACAGGCCCTGAAATCATCGCCAGTACATAACCTTCTTCATTCCTTAAAACACCCCAACACCCGGCAGGCCTTGGTTTTCCCCTTGCCGACACATCTGCATTGAATTATAATAAGCTTCTAGTAAATATCCATAATGAACTTCATTTTCAGTGTTATAATTCTTTTTCTATTTAAAATTAAAGCAAACAAATGTGAATCTAAATTGTCAAGAAAACATGCTAATTAGTTTGTCCTTAATCATAACATCAGAAAATGCTGGACTTTAAAAAATCAATAAAATGTCAATGTAACTGAAATTTTGTCATCTAACCTAATATGCTTAGAAGTGAACTTCTATCATTTATAATATAACCATTTCTAATTCGAAATGATAACTTAAAAAATGTATCAGAAGTGGCTAGAACGTCGACTATTAAATTTGAGGGCTGATAATCAGTTAAATTATATTTTTTTGTTCAATATCTTGATACTTGAGTTGATACTTATAAAATAACTTTATGAAAAAATATTCGATTTAGTTAAAGGTGGAATATTGAAATCGAGGTGCGATATCTGTGCCAAGCCCACCATGGGATGCGTTTTCAGATGCACCGTCTGCAGTTTCCAGATGCACCCATGCTGTGCAATGTTGTCAACCGAAATCAACATTTCAGTCCATCCACACACTCTAAGGCTCTTGCCCATGCCCGGCCAATCTTCGAATGGGGACCCAGCCGGCTTTGTCTGTGACGAGTGCAATCGGAGGAGATCAGGGAGAGTGTACCAGTGCACCATCTGTGATTATCATCTCCATACAGTTTGTGCTAAGAACATGGTGAATGGACTTCAAGCCAATGGGATCAAAGGCACGGGTAAGCCGAGCATGCTGGGGACTGTAGTTAGGCTTGCTTCTCAAGTGGTGATTGAATTCATTGGAGGGCTGATTGAAGGGCTTGGAGAAGGTGTTGGACAGGTGCTGATTCAAACAGCTGCTAGAGGAAAGGTGCTACATTAATAGATCAGGAGCTACAACTGCATAAAACGTTTGTTAATTAAGCTATATATTGTTTGTATGTTTAACAGTAGATATGGGAGCTTGAGTTATAGTTTGAAGATAGGGAAGTGTTGCAGCAATTGGAATATACATACATCTCTGATTGATTGTGTTAAGAATTATTTCAATTAAATGACAGTAATGTTTTCTGTAAATTACTTTGTATATCCAATATAATTTAGCATTGTTGCTTACTGTGTAGGAGTTTGAATCGATGTGGAAATTTTTGTTTTTTTAATTTGCGAAGGGAAATACAAACATGTTTTTTGAGCAAAAAATCACGGATCAAACATTGAAACAAATGTTCAAATACAAATAGATACAAAAGTTTAGATAGAATAATAAGTTTAAAGAAATGGATCGAGACATTCTTCACATGCAATTAGAGTAGAAAAATAATCCTAAATGTTAATGCATGGAATGCAATCTTGATTTGGAAACGATTATGTCAATGAGACCATTTAGTTAGAAGAAATATTACTCTTACTCTCTGTTAGTCTCTTACATGATCACGATGAAGCTATATAATTGAAAGAATTATTAATTCTTAAGTCAGTAGTGTTCTTTTCTTGTATTCATCATCTCAACTTAAGACAGGATTTTAATATAATTATCTATACTCTAAATTTTGATTTACAATTAAAACCTAAGGAAGCAATTTTATTTTCGTTAATGTGATATTTTTATACGCGTGAGAAATGGAGAATTGGGCTTTTATTGCTCCTATTCCAAGGTCTCTTTATGAATGTTGAGCAAATTTTGAGCCCAATCAAAGGCCATCATTTAACCGTCAATCAAGAATTATTTGATTTTTTAGTTAGCGCATAAAGAATTTTGAATTACAAATTAAAAATGAACTTTTTATTGTTTCATATATTTTTGCATTCTAACCATTACATTTTCCCCATTGGCCAAAACAAATTACGTTTTCCCCTTGAAATATTAAACAATGTACCTATCAATTTGCCTTTTTTTTTCTTTGAGAAAACAAATTAACAAGAAATTCAATAATGTTAAAAAGAAATTAGAGATTTTCATAGGTGTACCAAATCTGAGAGTAGCCTATCAAGTTGACATTTTAAAACCTAGCAAATATCTAGGATCACCAACTCATTAATGCCCTGTTTGGCATTGATAATTGAATAAACTTTTCAACTAAAAATTGCGTTTCATTCACCCTTAGCTCAATGACAAACATGTAAAAAGTTCTGGCTTTTGAATTAAAAATTTTAATGTTCATTTGGATAAGTGGTGATATTAACTCTTGTTAGATTAAAAATAGATGGTGATGATATTAGTTAAAGTAGTAGTAAAATTGGGTATTATAACGACAATATTAAAATTAATAGTGGGATATATATTTAGATGTAAATATAACAGTAGTAATAAAATAAAATATAATTAAAAAAAATGATCATTAAAAATATTAAATTAAAATTTATATAATAAAATTTTAAATTATTTAATATTTATGAAATTAATAAATAATTAAAAATTATTCAAATTATTTTTATATCAAATAAAAATTTTATTAATCAATAATTGAAATTTAATAAAAATGATAATAAAACATCAAATATATTTTTAAATTGATAATAATATATTTAGACAAATTAATAATTTAGAAAATAATAATTATTTCTTATTTAAAATAAAGTTTAAAAACAAAAGAATGAAAAAAAATCAAAGATAAAAAAATAAAACAAAGGCTTTTGTGGGGGGGGGGGGGGAACTACGATGATTAGGGATGTTAATGGGTAAGCTAGGGTAGATCATTCCCCATCCTCGATTTATATCCATCTTCATTCTCATATCTAATTGATATTTTAAATTAATCCTCATTCTTATCCTCGTGGGTATTTAATGGATATTGGTAATTCTCACGCTTATAGCTTTAAAAAAAATAAAAAATAAATTTTATTTTTTTAACTTTTTGAAATTCTTATCTTATATATTTAGGTAATTTTTTTTATAAATCTATATTAATATATATTTTTCAATAAAAATATATTAATTCTAATTAATCTAAAATAATAATTTATATTATTCAATAAAAAATTTATTTACTAAATATATATACATAAATATGTATATAGGATATAAGTATGAGACATGTATTATATTACCTATCCCCATCCCTATATCTAATAGAAATTTCAAATCATACAAATCATTATCCTCATCCCCACGTTCACAAAATAATATATGTCTCCATCTTCGGATAAAAAGTCAGATTTTTAATTGGATATAGATAAAATTGGCATCCTTAACAGTGATCGAACATTTTCCCGACCAATAGAATTTTCACGATTAAGTAGGGCATGTTTTTATCAAGTGACCCACATTCTCATTATGGTAATCACATGTGGCATTAACATTTTATCATTTAGGATAAGGTGACTTTAATGGTTATAAAAGAACTTGAGACATTAGGTCATTCTTGACCAATTTTAGGAATAGCTCAGTATAGTTTATAGGGATAAGATCAATGTAAGCTCTCTCTTGATTGTCCTTGGATCTTCTCAAACTACTCACTTGACTATTAGGCCCTGAAACTAGTGTAGTGGCAGGATTAAGCCCATATGCAGGTGTTTTAAAGGCTAGTTAATAAAGGCTTTGGTAGATGTTATTCATGGTTGGAAAATGAGGTTGGTAAGAAACTTGTACAGTATTATTAACTGCTGGATAGTAAACAAGATGAATATATTGTGAATATAGAGCATAACTTTTGAATTGTTGCCCCTCACAACTTACTATTTGGGCTTCAGCTTCTTTTTTTCATAGTTATCCCACATTTCATAGCACTGCCAGCCTCTTCTTCCTCAAGCTTGCAACTCTTGATTGCATTTTCAATAATCTCTCATGAGATCACCATTTTCGTAAAGTTTTTTGTTATGTTTCCTATCATCTTCTCATAATATGATGTTTTTAAGGTGCTAACGAATAGAACTGTTATTTTTTTTCAATCAAAAGAGGTTGAACTTGAGTAGTCATATCCCTCCATCGTTGGCATATTGTTTAAAGAACCTATTGCCTTCTTTTTCATACTTTGTCAAAAAAAATTATTAGAGGCCAAGTCAATGATGTGATGGTACTAATTGATGACAGAGTGGGTCAAATTTTTTCATGATCGAGTGTAAGTCCTGTCTAATTGGACATACCATTTTACAGTAAAACCAGTTAAACTATCTTAAAATATATGCATGAGTAACTTCTTGTTACTGGTGTAAGCTACTATCTTACGATAATATATTGTAATATGCATAATGGGACATTTTATATCGTTATATTTATTAAACTTTTGTATCTTAAACTCTAGGGCTGTCATCATATCTGGTACAAAACAAAGCCTAAAGGTATTTATAAAATAGTGAAAATCAATGTCTTCCACAGCTTACAGTCTCTTTTTGAGCATATTCATCATGTGATCAGCTTTAGAGTCCTTAAAAAACTCAGCCACCTTCAATTCTTGTTTCTCTTTTTGGATGTTCAAATTACTTAGACCAATTCAACTGCTTTTTCAATGAAGGTAGGGCTTATGTAACTTTGGACATTTCCTTAGCTAGGTGTATGCAGTATTCTTAAGCTTGTAAGAAATGCAAACTGTTATATAGGCAACTTTGAGTAAATTAGGCCTAATACAAGCCATAACCTGAAAGATACAAAAGATCAATAACTTCATGCAAAATGTCTTCCTCTACTACCTTTTCCTTACTCAGCGTTCCTAAAGCTTCAAAGATTTTGCTAAGTTTTCCCTTAATTTTCCCTTAAGCTCTTTCTAGTTTCTCAACATGGCTTGCATTGTCTTGTTCCATTCTTCTAGCTTGAGCTCGAGTATTGTACTTGTGGTAAATTTGTCAAGCTATCCTTGAACCTAAATTTTTCACAATTAGGGTGGAAATTTAAAGTAATATTTATATGACCATTAGATTATATGTGAGAATGAATGTTAAGAATGCATGAATGCAACAAGGAGAATTTACCACATAATAATAGTTATTAAAAAAAATCTTTGTTGAATTAAAAGTTATTTCTAACCAAATCCAATATTACATTCATAAAACGTCTAGATTTTACTGAGAAAAGAAATTCCTAATTTATTGATACTGGCTTTGCACTTTATTAAAAAAATCTAATAGTTTTTGGCTATGTGTTCCCACTTATGGCACTTTTATTTTTCATTCTTTGACATTTTCTACCATGTTTTTGGCTTCATAAGCAGCCACAATGATTTGGGTCAAGCAGAGACTCCAATTGGTTATGCTTTCTCATACATGCTTTCTTTAATTAATCATATTCTTCATTCACAGCCCCTATTTGTGTTTCAATTTTCACCACCACTCTATTTAGCATTTGGATATGCCTTTGTACTTCAAATAGCACCTCTTTTTTTTTTGTAGCTCTGCTTACAACTGTTTATTTTCTTTAAAAAATTAGGCCAATTATCGATTAGTGGATGATTGTGTTGTGTTAAGGTCAGTGAACAAACTCTTCAATTCATCTTTTTCTAATTCAAGTGCTTGAACTTTTTTTTTTAGCCTTTTGTTTGCAAGCTTCAGCTCTTTAGATTCCCTTTTCAGGCCAGTAAAAGACTTTGCTAGGTTTTTCATGAATGTAACTGAAACTTTCTTTGTTAAAATTATTTTATGACAATAACTTCTTATGATAAAACTAATGATGTGAAATGCATGCATAATTAAAGAAAAGAGGTTAGTAGGCATATAAGGACCAATATATAAATACAAAGAACCATATAAAAAGTTAGTATGCAAATAATATATACAAAAACAATACATAAATTTAAGCAAAATAAACATCCCATCATATGCCCTATTTATGAATTTCTAACATAAAGAGGAAGGCATGACTCTAACTTAAGTTCTGACACTTAGGGTTTATTTTCATTCTAGGTTAAAAAGTTTGATAGTATAAAAGTTCTCAAATTGTTTCTTACATCATTGTTCATTATAGATTGGTAAAACATCCCATTCCTTACCCATTGTAGGCTACAAGCAAAAATGGCTTAATTTGAGTGAAAATTTTTCATTAGCCCATGCGAAGACATGAAATCTCACAAAAGCATAAGTATTTTACTCTCTTTTAAGGGACAAAACTTGGGTGTAGAGCTTATGTTATACATATGCAAAGGAATGTCAAATATATAAAATGAATAAATAAATAAAACAAATAAAATACAAACAAAAGAAAAAAAATCTTAAACTTATTAGGTTAGGCTTGGATAATAAGAAATCATTTACTAGTCTGACTTTAAATTC